TAATAGAAACAAATAAATTAATTAGAAAGATTAAATACTAATGATTACCTCAGGATTATCGACAATATGAGAAAGAATTATTATAATTGAGTCCAAATCTCGTACACTAGAACGATATTAAACTATATAATATTATTAACTAAACAACATACTGTCGTGCTTTTAGACTATCATAAAGTTCAACAAATTCATTTGCTGATAATGAGTTCGAAAATAATTTACGTTTAGCATCAGATAACTCTGCCTGGTATAAAAATAAATTTTTATATATAGAATAAGAAAATAGTTCATTGATTTTACTGGTGTATAAGTATTAGCTTGTTGATTTGTATTTTTATTGAAATAATCAAGAATAGCTTCTGGTGCAAGATTTGTTCCTTTTAAATTAACACTAAAATGAATATTTCATTGATGGATTGTAAGTTACAATTAAATATTACTTTGATGATCGTACAAGTTCATTTACTAGAAAATGAAGACTATATTCATGCGCAGACATTTCTGCTATTTAATCACAGATCAAAAATTGAACTTAAAATTTTTTGTTCCTCATTTGATTACCATTTTCATTCTTCCTCAATCTCCTGAATCTTGTCATCATATATAGATGTCGTCAGTATTCAATTTTAGAATAAACGTTCAATTCTTTCTTTTTTTTGCTTCTCATCGATCATTCACGATACTAGAACAATAAATGTAAATATTGAAAAGACAAAACAAATAACCTAGCATTCTGATGGTTACTTTTCTATACGATACATCATTGACAGCGATTGTAAATCAAAATCTTCATCTGATTTTTGCAACTGAAAATAAATATCAATATCCTAATTACGTAAAGTGCAGTATTAGATTAAAGTTAAAGTTGTGATGGTTTGACTCTACGTTTATTATTGATGTTAAAACTAATGTGTTAGATATATATATAACGGTACAATAATATAATGCACCTCTTCTCTAAGCTTTTATTAAAGATAGTGTAAGAGATATCTCACAGTCGGTGTCCCTTCGGTCCGTCATTCTCAACTTCTTGATGCCACACTCACACTCACTATCATTAACATCAGTCATTCTTTCTACCAAGTACAAATGTTACAGCTTATTATATTCTTAGCCAACAACGAACAATAGACAGAAGATTTTGTACAATGAATTGAATGATTTGCGGATGATTGGTAGAAAATACTTCAGAAAGAAAGATATTGGAAAAGAATGGCCTCAACAAGTGGCTTATATATTGACCGTTTTTATTCACTATTGAAAATCAGAAATCACCAATTCATCGGATATATATGGAATAATGATGTATTAGAACTGAAATTGAGTTAAAAATGAAAAGCAGATAATAGTTTAAAAAGCAGAAAAAAATTGAAAAAACAAACGTCAGAAAAAAAAGCAGAAGTTTTTTGCTAAAAGCAGAAGAGGTGGAGATCTTGTTAGCAAAGTTTTGTTAAAATTGTTAATATAGAGTGAAGATAAATGTTAGTCTGTATCGTGTAATGTTTTATAAAAGTAATATACTTAGTAGAGTAATAAAGTGTTAATGAATAAATAAAGGTTAGTCATCGATAAGCCTTAACAATGCAAGAGAACACCGACAGTGTTCGAACCATAGTTTAGAACAATAATATCGGGTTTATTGTCGCTATTCACATCGACGACTGTTACTCCCGATGGGTTGGTACCAACTGGATAAGTAGTTTGAGCAATAAAGGTGCCGCTACCTGTGTTGAGAAGAACACCGACGGTGCTTGAACCATAGTTTTCAACAACAATATCGGGTTTATTGTCGCTATTCACATCGACGACTGCTACTGAATTTGGGTTAGTACCAACTGAGTAAATAGTTTGATTATTAAAAGTACCATTACCAACGTTGAGGAGAACACCAACGGCGCTCGAACCATAGTTTGCAACAATAATATCGGGTTTATTGTCGCTATTCACATCGACGACTGCT